AGGGGTTCCTACTTGCCATTCGCCAACACCACTACAGCCACATCTAGAATCAGATCCCAACTGCTTTTACTTTATTGTAGTTTTAATTTCTATTCTTTCTATTCCAGTTTCGTTATTTACTTTCGGCAATTTATTTCATTCCATTTGATCTTCATTTTATTTTCTGTAGATCTGCAATTCGGTCAGGTAACACGAAAGGGCTAGCTCGAGAAGTTTGAGGGTCAAAGGAGAGATCCAGAGACTATTACCTCTAATCGGATTACAGATTTTGTTTCATTTCTTTTGTTAATTTATTTTTGTATTTATTTATGTTTCTACACTTTTAACTTTCAGTACTATTCGAACTCTATATTTTTCTTAGTTTAATTAATTAATTTTTATATTTTTGCACTTCCCTCTTGTGTTTTTTTGTCTGGATTTTGAGTGTATATTAATTTTTCCCTCGCTTCCCTGTGGATACGACCCATTTTCACCCATTTACTGCATTAGTATTTGTTTGAGTGTCGAAAACTTTTATAAATGTTTAAACTGGTGTTCCGAAGTGCTTAACAACACGCTTCCGGACACTCCAGCCAGCTGGTCGAGGACCTCGTCTCAGTCCCCCTAGACGAGGACGAGCTTGACAAGACAGTTCATGTCGGATCCAACCTTCCCCCCAAGGGCCTATCCAAACTAGTAAGTTTCCTCAGACTCAATGCCGACGTATTTACTTGGTCCACTATTGACATGCTCAGAATTGACCCCTAGATTATTACACACAAGCTAAGCGTGGACCTGAGCTCTAGGCTAGTTTAGCAGAAGAAGAGGAACTTTGCACTAGAAAGTTGAAAGAGCATAGAGGAGGAAGTCGAAAAGTTACTCGACGCCGGCTTCATCCGAAAGGTACACTACCCTAATTGGTTGTTAAATGTGGTTATGGTAAAGAAAGGTAATAGGAAATGGCAGATCTGTATTGATTTTGCAGACCTTAACCGAGCTTGCCCCAAGGAAAATTTTCCTTTGCCGACGATAGACCACCTCGTTGACGCCACTACAAGGTACGAGCTACTTAGCTTCATGGATGCCTTCTCCGGATACAATCAGATAAAGATGCACCCAGATGATGAAGAGAAGACCTTGTTCATCACTGTACATGGCACATACTGCTACCGTGCGATTCCCTTTTGGCCTCAAGAATGATGGGGCCACCTACTAGCGCCTTATTAACAAGGTGTTCAAAAAGCAGATGTGGAGGAATGTCGAAGCCTTTGTGGATGACATGGTAGTGAAGAGCCTGAAGGCCAAGAACCACATCTTGGACCTAGCCGAGACCTTTGACACCTTGTGGAAGTACAATATGAAGCTCAACCCCAGCAAGTGTTCCTTTGGTGTCACATCAGGTCAATTCTTAGGCTTCATCGTCAATCAGAGAAGCATTAAGGCTAATCCTGACAAGATACATGCCATACTAGACATGGCACCCCCGCGGACGGTGAAGGAGACCCAAAGACTCACCGGTCGAATAGCAGCTCTCAATCGCTTCATGTCAAAGTCAACCGAMCGCTCCCTACCCTTCTTCCGTGCCATCAAGAAGCTGAAAGAGTTTCAATGGACGGAGGGGTGCTAGCACGCCTTTGATGAGCTCAAGGCATACCTTACTTCGCCTCCCCTCCTCACCTGGCTAGCCGAAGGGCAAACCCTATACCTGTACCTCTCGGTTGGAGATGAGGCAGTCAGTTCAGTCCTCATCAAGGATGTTGGCATGCAGAAGCCAGTTTACTATGCCAACAAGGTCCTCTGCAACACCGAAACCAGGTACCCCGAGGTAGAGAAGTTGGCTCTCGCCCTCGTGGTTTCAGCAAGGAAACTTCGATCATACTTTCAGGTCCACACTATAGTGGTCCTGATGAACCAACCCCTCAAGGTTGTCCTTGGCAAACCTGAGGCCTCGGGATGCCTAACGAAGTGGGCCATCAAGCTATCTGAGCTTGACATCTAGTACCGACCGATACCCGCGATCAAGGCACAAGCCCTAGCAGATTTCATAATAGAATGCACCTTCAGCCGAGCCCTTTGCCAGCCCATAGAAAATCCTAAGGAGGATCATGTGGACGATGAGGCTCAACCTTGATGGAAGCTTTTTGCTGGGGACTCCTCCAACGCCAAAGAAAGCGGAGCGGGCCTCATCCTCCTCACCCCAGATGATTTTGTCCTAGAGTATGCGCTAAGGTTCAACTTTCCAGCAACAAACAACGAAGTCGAGTACGAGGCCCTCCTCGCTGGTCTCCAGCTTGCTAGGGACCTCATCTCCTCACATGTCGAAGCCTTCAACGACTCTCAACTGGTGGTGAATCAGGTGAACGGTGAGTACGAGGCCAGAGAACAAAGCATGTCCAAGTACCTCGCCAAAGTCCAAGATTTATCCCACCACTTCCAATGCTTTTCCTTGCAACGGGTCCCGCGAGCCAAGAATTTACGAGCCAATGCCCTCTCCAAGTTGGCAAGTACCTCGAGCGGAACTCTCATCCGGGACATGCACATCGAGAAGCTACTTTGGCCTTCCATTGAAGAAGTCTAAGTACTCCCTATAGAGGTCGAACCTTCATGGATGGATCCCATCGTCAACTTCCTATCAACTGGATGGTTGCCCGAAGACAGAAATGAGGCAAAATGACTCAAACGACAGGCAGCCCACTATACCCTATTGGAAGGGAAGTTGTACCGAAGATCCGTCACATTGCCTTACCTCCGACGCCTTCATCCAGAGGAGGGCAGCTATGTGCTACAAGAAATTAATGAAGGCATCTGCGGTAACCACCTCGGTGGGAGAACCCTAGACCAAAAAGCCTTAATGCAGGGTTAATTCTGGCTTACCCTCTATAAGGACGTAGCTAGATTGGTGCAAAAGTGTGATCCATGTCAGAGGCATGCCTACTTATGCCACTGATGTGTGCACAAGCTACACAGCAATTCTATTGTTTTATGCATGGTTTTGATGATAATTTGCATGATTTCTCACCTAATTGAGAATGATTTTAGGAATTCAAGAGTGTGGACCAGCTTAGGGGGAAGATAGCATAAAACCATGTTGAGAGGGAAAATGTGGAAGCAATTCGGCCCATCTAGAAGACAGGCCCAGCCGAGAGTCATAAGGAGGGCACTTTCGACCCATAAAGAAGCAAAGCCCCATGGGGGACACCAAGAAGAGAGCCCGGCCGAGACTCTCCAAGGGAGACCTTTCGGCCCACCAAGTGGGAGGCCCAAGTGCAGCCCAAGGGGTTCTAAAGGCGGCTACCTTTTAGAAGAGAGAGGGATGAAGAGAAAAGTATAAAAGGAGAAAAGGGTTCGAACCCCCAAAAGGAGAACGGAGAGAGAAGAGGCGCAAGAAAGGAGAAARGAGAAGATCTAGAGGAAGAAGAAGGTTGCTGAATGCGTATTGGAGGAGAATCACATCTAAGAAATTGAAGATTGAAGCAGAATTCTAGGTTGTCTTCTTCTTTGGTTCTGCACAATTTGTAACTGAATTCAGCTAGGGTTTCATGCAATTTTGTAAATTAATTTCTCTTTCTTGCTAGAATTTGAACCATGATTGATGATGTTTTAGATCTATAATTAGTTCTCTAGGGTTATTCGATTGATTGGATTCATTCTTGATGTTTCTTGGTTAGGGTTTTAATTGTTAGAACAGTATTGGCCGAATTGTTCTTGATTCTTGGATTGTCTGAATTGCTTGAGAAAGAATTTAGGTAATCAGATCTGCTAATCAAGAACCGAATCTAACACATCTTAGAGATAATTTGTGTGATTTGGTTGATGTTCATTCAACTCTAAATTGATGCCCTTCGAATTGCTTGCTCTTAATGCATCCATGGGGATTAAATTCTTGATGGAGATATAAGAATTGTCACCCATGGATAGGATGAGTTGTGCTCGAGAGAGGCTGCTCATGGCATTAGGATTTCACCAAACCATGGCTGAATCCCAATTCAATTGAATAACTTCTTGAATTAATTGTTGGACTGAATCTATTAGTGTTCTTATACAGCCTTGCTTCTCTCTACATGAAGGAGGTTTGATCCGAATTGATTAGGATAGTTTGCTAGTTAGGAATTCAGATTTTGATTAGGTTCAGAATTCGGTTTATCAGATAACAATTGGTTGATTTATTACTAGTAGTTGTTGCATAAATCCTCGTGGGAACGATACTCTACTCATCAGTTTATTACTTGATCGGCTAGTGCACTTGCTAGCGTAAGCAATACACATCAAGTTTTTAGCACCGTTGCCAGGGATTTATTACAACAATATTAGGAACCATTAGCCATTGTTAATCTGATTTTAATTTTGTATATTATGTTTCTGATATGTGCATATTAGCCTCCACTGCTGATAAGTAGTTTCCTTTCTTCTTGCTCATTGTCTTTGTTTGTTTTTCTTTTTTTTTCTCGGTAGTATTCAGTTTTCTTGGTTTGGTAGATTGCTTTTCTAATATGTGTATAGTAGCCTCTTTATGACTTTGACTTGTACAGTTTATGACACGCAGAAGTGAAACGGAGAGCACCACCTACGATCCCGAGATTGAAAGAACTCTCCACAGCCGCCTTAGAGCTTCTAGGCAAGTGAGAGCTGAAATTGAAGAGATGGCTGAACCAAGAGCCATGATGGACTATGCCAAACCAACCCTCACCGAGGCTGCTTCAAGCATTGTGAGACCAACTATAGCTGCCAAAAATTTTGAGATCAAACCATCCATCATTCAAATGATACAAAACACGGTTCAGTTCTGCGGCATGGCTCATGAAGATCCGAACACTCACATCGCCAACTTCTTGGAAATTTGTGATACATTCAAGCACAATGGGGTTAGTGATGATACGGTGAGGCTCAGGTTGTTCCCATTCTCATTGAAGGACAAAGCCAAGACTTGACTGAATTCTTTGCCAGCTGGATCTATAGCAACATGGGATGAAATGGCAAGCCGATTCCTCTCCAAGTATTTTTCTCTGTCCAAAACAGCAAAGATGAGGAATGATATCACCACCTTCTTTCAGCARGACGGAGAGTCATTGTATGAGTCATGGGAGCGTTACAAGGAGCTGTTGAGGAAGGTCCCTCATCATGAACTTCCCATATGGCTGCAAGTCCAAACCTTCTATAATGGGCTAACCGAAGCCAACAAGACCATTATGGATGCTACAGCTGGGGGTTCCATCAATAACAAAACCTCTGAAGTTGCCCATGCACTCATAGAGGAGATGGATGCAAACAACTACCAATGGCATTCTGAGAGAGCACAAGTTAGGAGACAGTCCGAACTTCACAATGTGGACACCTATACAGCCCTACAGGTGTGGGCTGAATTAAATATTTCAATTAAATATCAATCCCTTGGCCCAAAAGTGGGAAATTAGGGCTAACATCAGCCTCCATCGAACCACAGATTCAGTCCAACCAGTTTTGACCAATCTGGTTCGAATGGGTCTAGGGTTTGATTTTTAATTAAAGAATTAATTCAATAAACGATCTGAAATTAAATTTACTGATTAAAGAATAAGCAAGAATCAGTAATAGGGCTGTTCGCACACCTCAAACCTGCAAAACCAATGTTAGATCACAGTTTGCAGTTTCATAAACTACAAATCACAGATAGCGATTTTCCCATCTGTGAATTCTCCTTCTCCAGCGCATGCAGCTTTGATCTTGAATAAAATAAAATAGAAAACCCTAATTTTTCTATTAATATTACGTCAGATCGAATACCTATACATTCAGTCTAAAAATTAAAAAAAAAAATTAATTACAGACCAGAATGAGTAGAACTGCGAAATGGGCTTTAGGCCCAAAAAGTACATGTGCTCAGTAACCCTCCAAACTGCTGCCCAGTTGGGCTTCCTTGTATGGCGTGGGACCCAAACATTGATCTACACATCAGCCACATGGGTTCAGCCCAGCCTTTGTTACAAGGCCTAGCCGAATACACTGTAATAGATAGTGAACCACTGAGCCCATCACCATGGGCTCTTAATGGGCCCAACACTTACACTAAGTGATCCCTGGGCCAAGCCACCTTTTAAAAACCCGGGGACTGTGGGCAGATGCAAGATTATCCCATCAGGTATTACCCTCAATGGTCTTACACTTAACCTCTCAGCCCATAATGATCAAACATTGCCTGACAAGAGAGGACCTCTCCCTCGGCTACAAGGAACAGTGCTACACTCTCTGCTCACATGGATCCCGGGAATTAAAACCATTTTGCAAACATTTTGAAACCATAATATATATATATATATATGTATATTCGTATATAAATATATTTTGCAAAACAAATTTCAACGATTGAAATCGACTACCGGCAATCTTGATTTCCATCAGAGAGTGCATCCCCGATCATTACCTTTGTCCGACAAAGGGGCTGATCCTATCACTATGATCACCCACTCAGATGAATTCTCGGACTGTCCCAACATATCGAGGTTTTGACCCCCTCTAAGGATCTCACTGATTGGCATATCAAAGACAACCCAATCTGACACCTAGTGCAATATCATAATCGAGTCTAGGGGTCAGGTGTAACTTTCCAGTTTTGCCCATTAATCTCCAAGGTCCAGGGCCATACTGGAAATCTGGTATGGTTCAGGGTTTCAAGTAAACCTACATTGCATGTACCTCGGGTCTCACCCTGGCAGCTGGGACAGGCCACCCCAACACTTGGCGGCACATCAGTGTCAGCCTTAGTAGGATAAATCTCCCCAGACTTATCTAACGACTGTGAACATTCTAAACTAACACAAGTCTCATTAGTGTCCAATTTAAGGGTATTACACAGAAACACACCACAATAACATGAATCAAATATGTACTTTATAAATTTACAATAAATGTAATAATGTACATTAATCTGATTGGAGCTAAGGGCATACACTGTCTAACATGAATTGCTTAAGAAAGAATTTAGGTAATGAGATATGCTAACCAAGAACTGAATCTAACACATCTTAGAGATAATTTGTGTGATTCGGTTGGTGTTCATTCAAATCTGAATTGATGTCCTTTGAATTGTTTACTCTTAATGCATCCATGGGGATTATATTCATGATAGAGATATAAGAATTGTCACTCATGGATAGGATGAGTTGTGCTCGAGAGAGGCTGCTCATGCCATTAAGGTTTCACCAAACCATGGTTGAATCCCAATTCAATTGAATAACTTTATGAATTAATTGCTGGACCGAATCTGTTAGTGTTCTTGTACAACCTTGCTTCTCTCTACATGAAGGTGGTTTGATCTGAATTGATTAGGATAGTTTGCTAGTTAGGAATTCGGATTTTTATTAGGTTAAGAATTCAGTTTATCAGATAACAATTGACTGATTTATTACTAGTAGTTGTTGGATAAATCCTTGTGGGAACGATACTCTACTCATCAGTTTATTACTTGATCGGCTAGTGCACTTGCTAGTGTAAGCAATACGCATCATCCACTGACCGGCCACCACACTTTCAACCCTCAACAGCCCATGGCCTTTTGCTAAATGGGGCATGGACCTCCTTGGCCCCTTTCCTCCGACCACAGGGGGGAGAAAGTACCTCATTGTTGTAGTAGACTACTTCACTAAGTGGGTAGAGGCCGAGCTTCTGGCCGCCATCACAATGCGAGCCATCCAAAAATTCTTTTGGAAAAACATTATTTGTCGCTTCGACCTACCCTACATGCTGGTCACCGACAACGAGAAGCAATTTGATGACACCAAGTTCCGGGAGTGGTGCGCCTCCTTCTGTATCAGGCAACAGTACACCTCGGTAGGCTATCCTCAAACCAGCGGCCAAGCCGAGGTCACCAACAAGACAATACTGGATGGGATGAAGACCAAATTGGACCGAGCTAAAGGCCTATGGACTGAAGAACTAAACAGTGTACTCTAGGCTTACCGAACTACGCCTCAAACAGCCATGGGAGAAACCCCCTTTGGCTTAACCTACGGCACAGAAGCAGTAATCCCAGCAGAGATCGGCCAATCGACACTCCGAATTGAGGCATATAATGAAGCCGAGAATGATGAAGCCCTTAAAGCAAACTTAGATCTATTGGAAGAAGCCCGAGAGCAAGCATGGATATGGGTAGCCGCTTAACAGTAGCGAGTAGGGAAAGACATTATCAAGAAGGAGACCTTGTAGCTCGGACATGGAACTTGAAGAATCTCCGGAAGTACTACAAATGATTGTGATATCTTTTTGAAACTATTGGATGAATGAAGCAAAGTTCCTCTTCGGCTCAATGCTTAGTGCGTGTACCTACTAAGTTCCTCCTCGGCCTCGCGACTGGCAAAGGCGCATGGCCTCCTCCGAGGACTGTACTCCCTTGTTAGACCGATGCCAAGACTTAGCGAATAAGTAACGAACAACCTATCTGTGACTTAATGTGTCAGAATACACCAAGACAGCCGAGGGGCTCATGTGCCTCAGTGCCCCACCTCGATGGCAGCTAGCCTCCTAAACTTTCACACTTAGCGCTACCAGCAAAGGAAGCCAACCTCCTTAGAGCATTGTGCTTGGCCTCGTCGAAACAAGTACGCGGGGATATGGGAGCTAGGCGAGCTTTGGCTCTGCCCAGGTCCCACGGAGCTAGACAAGCCTTAGCTCTGTCTTGGCCACCCCCCAATAGGGTAGGCCACCTCAGCCTCGTTGAAGCTAATGTACAGGGATACGGGAGCTAGGCGATCCTCGGCTCTGCCTAGGCCTCCCAGAGCCAGATGGGCCTCAACTTTGTCTCGTCCACCCTTCAATACGGCAAGCTACTTCGGCCTCRCCGAAACCAATACTTAGAAGATTAGGAGACAAGCGAGCCTCAGCTCAGCCTCGGCCCCACTCTCACGTTGATAGGTCATCTTGCTATTTATTCGAAGGGAGGAGAGCCAGGCGAGCCTCATGCCCCACTTCGGCCTTGCCTAAGTGAATGCTTAAGAAGGGTGGTAGGCCAAGCAAGCCCCGGCCTAGTCGTGGAGGCTTCGCCTTGGCCACCCCTCCACCATGCTCCTCACGCATAAAGCAAAGTAAACCGAAGAGAGCTATACTTGTCTCACGTTGTGATTTTTCTCTTGAAGGGTTAAGGACCCTTCGACAACAAAAGCATAAGTGCAAAAAGTACAAGGAAAAACAAAACAGCAAAGTACAAGTACAACATTTGAGGCAAAGATAAAAAATGCCACCGATTTTCATTATGTACAAAATTTTCRTCTTTACAAAATTGTCTCACGGCCCCTCAGGCCAAAGATATGTACAATGTCAAAAAAAAAGAGAGAGAGAAAGAAAAAAGAGAAAAAGCCTAGCCTAAGCCTCGCCACCAGCCGGAGGAGGAAGTGCAAAATCAACAGCCTCTTCAGGAGAGTCAGGGATCACCTTCAAAGATTCGGCATCAAAATCTGATAGCACCGGTGCAAGTGCCTTCTTGGTGTCTTCAATCCCATCCAAGTAAGCCTCGAAAGCGAGATCGGCCAACTCATCGGCTCGTTTCCCTACCTCTTGGGCCCTCTTCTTAGACTCGACTACCTTTCGTTCGGCCTCTGCAGCCCTCTTACCTGCCTCCTCGGCCGCCCGCTTGTTCACCTCGGCGATGTCTACTTCGGCCTCGGCCTCAGAAATGAGGCTCTCTACATGAGCCCTCTCAATCTACTCTTGGGAAAGGAGATCCTGCGTCTTCTTCAACTTCTCTTTGGTCTCCATGTGAAGCTTTTGTTCATTGTCGAAGTATCACTGGAACTCGGAACGCTTCTCCACAACAGTGGTGGCAACTTGCTAAAGCTTGTCTTTCTTAGCCTCCAGCTTGTCCATGTTGGCTAGGGTCAATTTCAGCTAATCCCTTAGCCCAACAAAGTGAAGACAGACCTGCAACGAGAAAACAATTAGCACCCAGTAGATAAACGAAGAAAAGAAGGAAAGGAAAGGGGAGCGAGCTGTTACCTTAGCTAGGCTTTGCAACCCTTGCTCGTACAACTTGTTCGGGACCATCCCCAACATCTAGAAGTGGTCCTGCAACAGGAGAGCCCCACTCACCAACCTCGGGCTAACTCCCGCGTTGTGGATAGAGTCCCCCTCGCAGATCTCCCACTCAGGGCGGAAGATTTGGTCAGACCCCTGAACAAGCTCCTCCAACGGCGTAGGAGCAAAAAACGGCCCCATTCGCTCCTTGTGGGGCCTCCTCGGTCGGCCTCTTCCTCCCTGCCTCGACCCCGTTGGCAGGTCCTCTCGGAACCTCGGCTGGCTGTTGTGGCACTTGCTCCTTACGCCCCGACTGGCCCTCCTCGACGGGCCCCTTCCCCTTCGTGGGGATTTGTGGAGTGGCTCCCTTTGAGAGAGCTATTGAAGAAGTCCCTTTGGTAGGGACCTATGCTCTCGTCCCCTTGGCAGGGACCTGGCGGGAAGACCCCTCTTTGCAAGGGCCGATGCCTTCTCCTTCTAGGCTAGCGTGCCCTCGATGGGCCTTTGAGTCATCTGTCCGCCAACCTTCGCCCGCTCCTTCTGTATCATGCGGGCACGGTCCAGTATGGCCTTCCGAGAATTCATCGGCACTTCCACAAGCAAAACAACAGTTAGTGCCATTACACAAAGACAAAGGCGAGGAAAATGTGGAAAGGAGTTGTGTGGCCTATCCTACCAAGGGGGGTAGGGTTGAGTCCCGCGAAAACCAATGGGATCTCCTCCTCCACCAAGGGCTGGGCTCAGACTCTCCCCAAGTTGAGCAGCCATGTGAGATCATCACTTTCCTCACTCGTAAGCAAGGGGACACTTTTCTCCACAGACAAGCTGACCTCTCCCCACCCCGACTTAAAGGACCAGCCCTCGAGACAAGACAAAAAGAAATATTTACTCTTCCAGTTGTGCACGGAAGAGGGGTTATCTACGGGCTTGGACTTGTGGGGTTGGAAGTAGAAGACACCAGCTTCGGAAGAGTGCTTCCTCAACACGAAGACCGCTCGAATGAGCTTCGGCATCAGCTCCACCCCCTGGAGCAGAGCCGCCACCAGCATCACCACAATGGTTCCTATCACATTGGGCGCCAGTTGGCTAAGGGTAATCCTATACACCCTTAGCATGTCAGATATCAATGGATGAAGGGGGAACCGAAGAACGAATTGGAGGAAGTGCTAACAAACGCAGATCTCCACCTCCTTGGGAGTCCATGGCCAACCACCCGCCTCAGGCACCCTCACCCCATAGGACGAAGGGATGAAGTATTGCCTTGTCGGGGCCTTGACTTGATACCACTTCAAAGAACCTTCAAACTTTGGGCGAGAAGGATCAGCCCCGATCTCTACCCCAGCAACACTCTTAACCCTCATCTCGGGGATGAGGTCCGGGTCCTGCTCCCCCTTGGCCTGGGGGTAGCCCTTGGCATCACAAATGTGGTGCTCTCACAGGGAGGGTCATTGCCTCGGTGAGTGCCTTCGGCTCCCTTGGAGGTAACCCTCTCCCGGAGCACCTCCACCTCGCACCAAAGGGGAATGGAAACTGAAGGGCTTAAAGGGGAAAAGGGAGAAGGGGTTCAAATGGAGCTCCCCTCCGATACATTCGGAAGTTCATAGCATTCAGGTCCAGAATCTGAGAAAGACATCGTTGGAAATTACCTAACAAGGGGAGTGGAAGGAAAATAAGTGAAGGTAAAGTGTTGAAGACTGGAGAATCTGGGAGCTGAGTTCACTCGAAGGTGAAAGCACTTGGAGGAAAAATGACAAGAATTCTATTGTTGAAGCACCTATTTAAAGAGGAACCAATGGCCTAGATTTCTCGAGATCCAATGGCTAAGAAGCCACTGCCTCCACAACTCAATCATGGCACGCCGTGTGACACTCAGCTTTGGAAGGCGAAGCAACGTACAAATAACGACTCAGATCATCTCAAATATAACGGATGAGAAGTACTTCCGCACCTGCAATCCAGCCATGCCGCATTCCTGAGTGCTCACCCTTGGAAGACGAAATGATGCTCGAGATAGACTGGCACGTCTGCCCAAAGAGGGCCGCCAGTTCAGGCGACTTGTTCCCGCGAGCGCGCACACTGGTTCAACCAAAAGACCGTCACACACACGGATCCTCGGGCCTAAACAGCCTTCAGCTTCATAGGCCCCCAGCCTAAACAGCCTTCGATTTCATAGGCCCTCGGCCTAAACAGCCTTCGGCTCCATTGGTCCTCA